AAAAATGAAGATGTAATTACATTATTATAATTAATTTTATTTATTTATTTTATTATTATTTTTTCTATAAAATCAATAATATTAATAATAAAAAATAAAAATATTTTAAAAAATACACTTATTTGTTTTTAAACATGTTCTTATTAGTAATTTGATGTTAAACAACAACCGCTAACTATTATATAACCAAACAGTTATATTTATCAAATCCGCTATTTACCATCCGTTACCCACTTTCCGCTATCCGCCATCCGTTATCCGCTAACCGCCACCCGCTACCCGCTACAGCTATCTGCTATCCGCTACCCGCTACCCGCTGAATTTTAACCACTATACCAAACAGGCCCTTAGTTTGATTGATTAGTAAATGGAAAAGCACGTGATTAATTGACTTCACCGACTAACAAATTAACTGATTATATGATTTGGTTATTGAAAATCAAAATTATTAACCATAAATCTCTGTTAACTCAGAATTTTGTTCTATTGATTAATCAACCAACCAATGCTCACTAATAGCGGTGGGTACGTTTTAGTTTTGATTACAACCAAAATCAAATTATCAATTAATCAAATTTTAGATAATTAAATTTTAAAAATTAATAACCAAACCTAAAAAAAGAAAGGGTTTTATTAGTTTCGGTTACTTGTTTTAGAATAGTCATTCAAAATGGTTTTAATTTTAACAAAAATAGTATTTCTATATTTTATAATGATTTTTTAATTCATTAATTGTTATTTTATTAATTTTAATCATTAAAAAACTGAAAATTACCCAAGTAAATTAATAATTTGGTATAAAATTGAGAAAAAAACCTAAAACAAATCTAGAAACCATTAAAAAAATTTATATAAAAATTTTTTGAATTAGATTTTTTTATTATACACAACCCAATTACATCAAACCCGTTAGTTATAATTTCAATCAATTTTAAACTTTTTTCAACAACAGATTTTTTCGCGCACCCCTTCTCACCCATAGGTACAATAACCTCTAATGTTTCTTCTTAATTTTTTTGAGATGTGAATTTTTTTTTCCACTTCACATAGACTCCTCAAATGTCGGTCCAATATAGAGTTAAGAGCCTCATGATCACACCACTCTTATACCAAACAAAAATTCACGTGCACCACAGCACAGCACATCTAATTAAAAATTTATTGACAATAAGTATACTATTTTATATTTAAACGAACATATTTTATCTTTATTTTTTGATTTGGGACAACCGTGAGCTTAACATGAGAGTAGGAGTATATATAGTTAGCAGCTAAGTGCTGTAACTGATTCAAGTAAACGAGCTTAAAATCAAACCCAAGCTTGACTCTTTTAACCACTCTTCTAGCCAACGTTCTAACTGTTAATATGTGCTATGTCTATTTGTTTGACGATATTTGTCAAAACTTATCCCAATGAGGTTGCTAATTGCCAAGCAAACGTGTGTATTGAGAACAAGGTACTTGCTTGTCCAAGCTAAGGGTGTCACCATTCTTTCACCCGGAGAAAATTCTTTGGGAGACCCATTGACTCATGATTGCAGCTCCAAAGGAGGGTTCCGGAAATTTGATCTTCATTCGGAGCACATAATCCTTTATGAAATTATTGTGATTATGACACATGTGGATGTGGGATTCCGAAATTCCATCACTTTCAAGAGCAATACACACGGGCAATTAAGGCAATTACACGGCCTCTAGAAAGGGTAAGGTTATGTCCATGCAAATTATATAAATATTGTCTTTAAAATACTGATAATAAAGAGGAATAGTTAATGGTTGTAATTGTCAACTGATATTTATAATTTAATGTTCCTAACTATATATTTGTCTTTTATCTTGGGCTGTACAATAAGAGTTAATATAATCTCTTTCATTCCTTAACATGTTCCATTTGTATGCTATATAATTTGAACTTAAAATCTCTTATTTTTACTAAAAAAAATTATCACTAAATTAATTAGATCGTTAATTATGTTTTTAAACATTTTAATTGATCGTTTAAGATTAAAAAAAATTATAAACTGATAAAATCAAACAAATTAAACACATTTTGTGTGACTTTAACAAAATTTAATGTGACAGTAACCATAACCCTCTAGAAAGGCATCATTAGATTGACTTTCATGATATGTATCTTGGTGATCACTAATCGGTGTTGTGTAAAAGAGAATATATTTACAATAGGGAATGTAAGGAGGGATAGATATAAAGAAAAAAATGAGATGATTTTATTAATTTTATGATGAAATCCCAAATTCACCACTAAATAGAGCCTATGAGATAGATCTGTTTTAAAAAAATGGATAAATGGTCTCTTTAAATTATTTGTCAAGATAAATAACTCATTATTTAACATATGATATTATCACATGTTAGTTTTCCAATTGTCACCTAAACTTGTTTTTAATGAAAACTTGACATATAATGATGTTACACATTAAATAATATGTAATTTATTTTGATTGATGATTTAGAGTGATGATTTAGAGAGACAATTTATCCCTTTTTTTTTTAAGAGCAGATCTATCTTTATCCACTTATTTGAGAGGCAGATTTGAGGGTTTAGTCAATTTTACATGGAATATTTTTAATATTCACCAAAAATTGTTTAACACCCTTTTTAAAAATGAAATTATCTTAACAAAAAAATGCAAAGTTACGCTAATAGCCTAAAAAATTTAGTAGTAATCTCTTTCTAATGAAGATAGCAACAACAAAAAAAAAGGGATAAATTTACTAAAATTCCTTTAATAAAACATATTATGTTATTTCATTAATAAAATTTTAGTAATTCCAGTTCCTATTCTATATTTTTATTATATCTAATTTGAAAAAACATGAATGTCTAATTTTAAAACATGCCCAAATTGACTATGTAAGAGAGAATTTATTGGTGATTGTGACAAGGGCAATGGGAGTCCAATAGGAATGATGAAGACTTGTAGTTTTATAGGAATGATTATGAGAAGGCTTAAGATATAATGCGTGATTAGCGCCAACAACCATGATTGAAACGTTTTAAGGGTTAGATAATTCAAGTCGTTGAATTTACACGCAAACAAGTGCCAAGACATTTCCTTGAAGCATGATTTTTCTAACAGGCCATATGTTAGTCTGAGCTTACGTCCAACCAAATATTGGTCTGTTTTTCACAAAAGCTGACTGGGGTAGAAGAGAGTAAGAAAAGTTTCACTTCTTCCCTAATCAGTCTTCGGCCGCAACGCAACTCTCTTAAGGAATCATTAGGGGTTAAGTAATATAAAATTTGTTTGGTTTATTCATTGTTTTAAACAGTTTTTCTTTTAAATGGGATATTTGATGAGTGATATTTATTATTATTTACACTGTAAATCATTAAATGGTACGTATTAATTATAAAGAAAATGATTTAATTAGGGATAATTTTTTTGTACAATATTTTTGAATAATTTTATGTATTATTAAATAATTTAATATATATAATATTATAAGTATCAATAAAATAAAAAATTTAATTATTGAAAAATAAAAAATTTATATTTTAATATTTTAAAAGACATGACTTGTGTCATGTTATTAATTCTAAATTTTTGTCCCGATGATAAACAGGATGAAAATTTTGAGATCCAAATTTGGGATAAGTTGCATCATTTAAAATTAATTATTTAAATAATTTAATAGTAATTTTTTCCACTAAAAATAAGATATTTTAATTTCAAATTATATGGTATACTAATGAGGTGGGATAACAGATAAGAAATAGTTGTCTTTCATTATATAACTAAAATAAAAAAAAAAGTCACATTATTTATAATATTAAAAGATAGACTCTTTTTTACTTTATTAATACATGTGATATTATATATATTCACTCATTTAATAAGATAACTTATGCCATATCATTAGTCTCAAATTTTCATCTGTAATTTTCATCCTGAATATCATTATTTTATATAGAGATAGCATCTTGCACTCAAAAATTAAGAGTGTAATTAATATTTTTTTTACATTAATCTATATTAAAAATGATAAAAATTGATATTAATTGTGTCACCATTACCATATAAACCATTTTCATTAGTCAATTAATTAAATAAAGGTAAATTTTATTTTTTTTAATGATAACTAATATTAAAAAAAAATGCTAAAAACACAGGTTAAAAAAATCTACAAAGATGTATACAAAACATTTGGGATTCTAAGTTTATATATATGGTTTCAAATTCAAAAAAAAAATTAATCTAACAAAAAATTCACCACAATGAGTAATCAAATTAAAATATAATTTTTAAAATTAAAAATAAAGATATTTGAATAAAAAATATAATAATTGAGACAAATTTTGGGAACAATGACCACTAAAAGCCACGGTTTTTAAAATATTAAAATGTGAATTGTATATTATTTCATAATTAATTTTTTTACATTATTAAAACTCATAATATTACATACATTAACCCATTTAATAATATAATTTATTAATAATGTCTTAAATTTTCATTCTTAAACTTTTATACTCTTTATCACCACTCTAATCTTTAATTTTTTTTTTACAGTAAAAAATAATTAGATAAATATTAATATCTGTTGTATTATGAGAGGATCAAATTTTAAAAATAATTGCAATCCACTTATCATCCAAAAGGCAACGTAATCACCATTTGACCACATGGAGTCTGCTCAAATCTTTAATTTGTTTTTTTTTTTTAATTAATACTTTGTACACATATTCCTTCTACCGGGAAAACGCCCACCTGTAATTTATAGATGACACGTTGTATACAACATGCAAAGGGCTTGCCAACGAAGCACTATAAAATGGACGCTTTGGTGTTGCCGTTAGCATGAGGACTGATTTGCTTTGATACATTGGCTTTAAGGGCTTATGTGCCCCATTTTAGTTCAGGGCTGGTAATTTATAGTTGGTAAAATCCAGGGGCTTAAGAAGGGATTCTGCCAATATATATATATATATATATATACACACTGACAGCATCTGTTATCCATCATCACATCAAGCCTTTACGCTTCCGTTTCGTTGACTTCTCCCTACTCAAGCAAATCACAACAACGCACATTCTAACATTGGGTGTAGCAGATCTTTCCCACCGAACCGCCAACAGGTAATGAAAAGCTTCTCCCTTCGAGGTGATGACGAAGAAAATTCCTTAACCGCTTCACAATCTACTGTGTCACACAAAACAACTTTCACAATCTTTCGTTTGTAAATTTTTGTCGGTTCTTTTATGAACCACGCCAGAATCATGAATACCCAGAATAGAAGTTGCTTCCTTCTTCCTTCCGTCCCTGGTACTCTGCCCCTAATTTTGTGATTGTGGCATTTTTTTTTTTTTTTGGGGGGATTGAATTGACGATATTGCTTTAGGGAAAGCAATCTGATGTGGGTTTCTTGAGATTTGCAGGAATCAAGGGGTTTACTTGTGCACAACAAGCTGGCGTCTTAGGCGGGTTTCTGTTTAGCTCTTGAGGTAAGCCCAAGTTGATGGGTTTTGTCCTTTGATCATCCTGACGCTTTGGTATTAAATAGATACACGATATTTTTAAATATGTTTTGGTTATATATGTGACAACGATGGTGGGTTTTGAAAGAGAAAGATACATTGTGTATGAGTAATGAGTTTAAAAGAAGAAGCTGGGATTGAGTGCTCTTATCTAAGTCAATTATTTGGATTTTGATTCAGAGTTGAGTTTCTTCTGCAATTATGCAATTTGCTAAGATAGAGGTATCTGAAATTTTGACCTTTTTGAGTGCATTAGCGAGTCTGATGGGCCATCTTTCGTGTGTATATTATGTGATGCTCGAATTTTCTACAAATGAGTTACTTTTGGATTGTTATTTGCAACATACCTAAAATCTGCTTAACTTGAAAGCCTTACGGTGAAACTGCATTGTTTTTGCTGCTCTTTGCAGCTTGATGATACTGTAAGGGGGAAAGTAAGAGATGGCTGCTGTAAGCAAAACTAGAAATATGCTTGAAGGTCTGGTAAGAGAAGGATCAATCAAATGGTTGCTTGGTCGGCAAACTCCCTTCCGTGAGGAATTTGAGGAGATGGATAGGTCTCCATCTGGCGGGAGGAACTTTATACCAGAGCTCTCTCCTATTGCTAATATAATTGTGCGCAGATGCTCAAAGTAAGTTTGGCCTGGACTGTGATGTGTTACTGTTATCTTCATTTGTTGTTAGTAACTTAATTTATGTGATTGGAAATGTTTTTTAATCTATTTCTTTTAATTAAAGAAAAAAAAAGGAAGAGAAAAGAGAGAGACTGAATTACATTTTCTTAGGAGCATAATTCAGACCAGTTGCCACTTGACTTCTATATACAATCTCCTTATGGATAGTAAATCAAAATGTGCAGAATCCTAGGTTTTTCTTCAAGCGAGCTTCAAGAAAGCTTTAATGCTGAGGCATCTGATTTTGTTAAGCATCCATCACAATATGCAAGGAACTTTTTGGAATACTGCTGTTTCAGAGCTCTTGCTTTGTCTACACAAGTAATGGGTCATCTGGCAGATAAAAGGTTCCGGCGCCTAACATTTGACATGATGGTGGCGTGGGAGGTCCCAGCAGCATCCAGTCAACCTCTGCTTAATGTAGGTTTTACTCATTTAGTTGCTTCCCAATGTCTATTTCTGCACATGTTCAACTATTGAGGTATCTGAATGCCAGAGAAAAAAAAATGTCAAAGTATCTGTCAATTGTCTCTCTTTTGCATGATTTTTAAGTCGTCAATTATAGAGGTTCCTTTTGAAGTATAGTTTGTTCAGACTTCAAAGTTGCCTATTTGCGCATGGCAGTGCCTCAGTTTTTTCCATTTGCTAATGTTTGCATCTGGATGCACATATGTTTAGCATGTATGATTTGTTTGAGTTTGTTGTAATAAATGTAATGAGAAGATCTTTCTACTCTTAGGATGTATGCAGAGAACCATGGGATTTTTGGTACATTCATTAATGTTGTTGGAATCTTAACTTAATTTGGGCTCATGTTATTATTATACTTATCATTCTTGTAGTTAGGTGAGGATGTATCAGTTGGGTTAGAGGCCTTTGCGCGACTAGCTCCAGCAGTTCCAATTATTGCTAATGTGATTACTAGTGAAAATCTTTTTGAGGCTCTTACTGCACCAACTGGTGGTCGGCTTCATTTCTCCATCTATGACAAGTACCTAAATGGACTAGAACGGTAAACACTTATCTGTGCAATGTGGCTATGCTATCTTCTCACTCTTTGAGTCATCTTTTAGGTCTAAATTTGTGTGTTTAATTGAGAAGTCAGACAACTCAGAAGCTTGAGTATTACATCATCCCTGCTTTCTCATTTTAGCTACATTTTTTAGTTTTCAAATGCATTTTCTTAGTTCTTCATTGGACATTAATTTATGGCATTATCATTTATTTAGTTGGTCTACTTTTCTTGACATAACATTCTAATTTTTCATCCCTGTAGAGCAATAAAGAAGGTGAAATCCCAATCAGAATCGTCTCTTCTATCTGCATTTCGGTCGTTAAGAGCAGAAAAGGTACTTGAAGTTGATGGGACATTAACCACCCAACCAGTTCTTGAACATGTTGGAATATCAACTTGGCCAGGTGAATTTGATTCTGCAAGCATAATTTTATTCTTTTTTTAACTACTTTTTCTATATAACTGTTCAACATGCGTGCAAGTCAATATTTTTAGACTCTTATGTTATTCATGTGCACATGCATGCAGGTCGATTAATTCTAACGGATCATGCACTGTATTTTGAAGCACTTCGTGTTGTATCTTATGACAAGCCAAAAAGATATGACTTAGCAGATGATTTGCAACAGTTTGTTAAACCTGAGTTGACTGGACCATGGGGTACCCGACTTTTTGACAAGGCAGTACTGTACAAATCTATATCCTTGTAAGGAATGATATTTTTATTTATTTATTCTTGTAGAAGTTGATCATAAAATCAGTTAAATTACAAGTCTAGGACCTCTAGGTATCTATGCTGTTTTGAAAGCTTGTCTGGGAACTGAATTAGTTGTTCTCTGTTTGATGTTTCTCTTGCAGATCACAACCAGTTGTTATGGAGTTTCCTGAGCTTAAAGGACATACTCGCCGTGATTACTGGCTAGCAATAGTCAGGGAAATTTTATATGTTCACAGATTTATAAATAAGTTTCACATCACAGAAGTCGAAAAGGATGAAGCACTTTCAAAGGCTGTACTTGGAATTTTGCGAATGCAAGCCATTCAAGAAATCAGTTCCTTAAGCCCAGTTCGCTTTGAGTCTCTTCTCATGTTTAATCTATGTGATCAACTACCTGGGGGAGATTTGATACTGGAGACTCTTGCAAATATGTTTACTTCAAAAGAATCAGACCAGACTGATAATTCTGCAGCTGGAAGCCAAATGTACTCAATCTCAGCCTTGGCCTCAGTTTCCAACCTAGGATTTATGTTTGGATCAAGTTTGAGTAATTCCAGTGAGACTGGGCTTGTTGTCGGTGAGGTATCTGTGGGTGAGATGAGTGTATTGGAAAAAGCAGTTAAGGAATCAAGGGACAACTATCAAAAAGTATTGCAAGCTCAAGGAACAGTTGATGAAGTTAAAGTAGATGGTATTGACACTAATTTGGCAGTGATGAAGGTATTATGATTGATTCAATTTCATTTCTTTAGTATTTCCATGTTCTTTTTACTTTATAAAGATAAATTGCAAAAAGGAGAAATTGATCTGGTGTTACATGAGTTTAAGCAGGTTTAAGCCTTACTCCATTTTGGTCTATGGCCTCATTGTATGTCCGTTGACAATGTTTTCCTCTTTACTATTTTCTCATTCTTTATTATTTTTCAATTACTTGCAGGAATTACTTCTTCCCTTAATGGAAGTTGGGAATGGACTTCTTACTCTGTTTTATTGGGATGATCCTAGAAAGTCTTTGGTGTTCTGTTTGCTTTTTGCCTTCATAATTTGCAGGTAAGACAGATATTAGATGAAGAGGCTAATTCCTTGTTAGAATAGCAGTTCAAGAAACTTGTATATATTGATGCAGTCTCCTTCAATAAATTTTTAGAAAACAATTTCAAAGATTTTTCAGCAATCATGATCTTCATGATTTTGTTATTGAATCAATTTTAGGTCTGATGTCTGAGAAAATGAAGTGCGGAGCTTATTGATCTTCATCATCCTTTCAATTTTCACTTCAAATCTAACATTTCAATCAAAAGCCAGTTTAAATAGCAGTGGTAAAATCCTAGAGAACATTTCTTACAAACCCTATTGAGCTCTTGCCCATTAGCCTCCAATATCATCTTATTCGTTGACAGGCACCGCTCCCAGACTCCCAGTCTCAGACCCTAGCACCATATAACTCTCAATGTCCTTTGATTTTCTTTCCAAATTAAACTCCATAATGTATTAACCAACGCCACATATTTTCAAAATGCTCACCTGAACCATAGTTTACTAGCATCTTAGCATATCAGGTCATCATAACATATGGCTAATTCAAATTTTGTTAAGGTGGTCTGATGTGAATACCAGGACATGCTCTTTTATACAGAACAAAGTATGCTCTTAGTTGACCCTAAGCAGGATTTATCCCAAAGGAATATTGGTTTTGACTGGGGAAGCCTATCCATACTTAAGTAGAAGGGACGGTAATGTCCTGCCAAATATTTAATGCTAAATGTTACTCTGGTTTATAGAAAAGGTTAGTGGATTCTGTGTCTAGCACTTTCGAGTGGGTTGTTATAATCTTAATACACATTATAATTTTGTTTTTCCCGTGTTAATCATGCTGCTCTGTTTTCTTAGAACTTCTGTAATCTGCATTTCTGCATTTCAGGGGGTGGCTGAGCTATGCCTTTGCACTAATGCCTCTCTTTCTTGCGGCCTTTGTGGTGCTTACTCGATGTTTCAATCAAGGGAGGCCTGTATATGAAATTAAGGTAATAGCGCCTCCACCCATGAACACAATGGAGCAGCTTTTGGCCGTACAGAATGCAATTTCTAAGGTAGAGCAGCTTATCCAAGATGGGAACATTGTTCTTCTCAAGTTTCGTGCCTTGTTAATGTCCATTTTCCCGCAGGTTCTATTCTTTGCCCATTGCTCGTTCTCTCTTGCGTCTTTCTATGTTAATATTGGTTGCTTTTCTTATCTGACAACATCATGTGTGGCTTATATATCATTTCTCACTGTAAATGTCATATGAAATCCTGAACCTAGTTACCTCTTCATGCTAACTTTTGTCACTCTGGTACCGTCATCCAGGCAAGTGAAAAATTTGCCATGATTCTCATGTTTACAGCCTTGATTCTGGCCTTGATGCCCATTAAGTACATAGTTCTCCTGATCATTTTGGAGATGTTTACGTGGTACTCCCCTCCAAGGAAAGCAAGCACAGAGAGATGGATGAGGAGATTGAGAGAATGGTGGTTCAGCATCCCGGCAGCTCCTGTAATTCTTGAAAGAGAAAAGGAAGATAAAAAGAGAAAGTGATACTTGAGCATTTTGTACATGTGTTTAGAAAAATACTTTTGTATAACAGAATTGTGAAAAGTGTAGATCTGAGAAATAGAGAAAGGAATGAAAAATAAGACAACAAATAAGTTATCTTGGAAGTGTTGGGAATAGAGATGATGTCCAGAATGCCTTTCGTCCTCTTTTCTACTTGGTCCAGGAAAGGAAATGATGGGAATGTTCTAAAATTTTTCTCAAAGGAAATTTCTTTACTCGGCTAGTTTAATGGATGCTGCAAGGAGGGATCTGCATTAAGGCTCAGTTAAAGCAAAAACTAGCCAGTAAATGCACTGAAAACAACTAATGAAACGTTAGATAGGTGGCAAACCTCAGGTTGCGGCGAAAGGGCAAAGTTTTCGTCTAAAAGTACTGTGATAAAACAAATTACCACTCAAAAAATTATTAATGCAATTTATCACTTTAAATTTTTATTTTTAAGAAATTGATTCAAATTTAATAATTATAATTAACTTTCCATTAGACTTCAAAAGTAATATTTTAACAGAGTATAATAGCAATTGTTAAATTTATATCAATTTCTTGAAAATAGGGATTTAGAGTGACAAATTGCGTTAATTTTTTTTTTCAGGTAGTGATTTACTTCAACATAACTGTTTACATCATAAATTGTGCAAATTTATTTTATGATGTCATGTCATATTGTTTGAATGAGTGACTATAATAAGGTCACATTAGACTTAAAATTGTTGTGATTTAGAATGTGACAGACCTTACTTATGGTGCCATGTGTCCAACTAGATTAAGTATTTTTGCAGTTATCTCCTATTTTTAGGTATTTAATGTTAGTAGAGGTAATGGCTAAATTTTAGAAAAAATTGTAGGCAAAGTTCAGTTAATGGATGAGGTGGTAAACAGATGGTGAGTTATGGAGAGAATTTTGACTAGGTTTACTACTGAGTTATCCAACGCAATACAAGTGGATGGGTACTATCTTTTTCGAATCTCGAGATATATAAAAGAAGGAACACGCAACCCAACCTATACACAATCCATCAAATTTAATTTTTTAATTTCATAACTACTGTTTACACAACTCATAAATTTTAATTTTAACACAATTCTAGCCAGATTTATGTTAGTTTTAGCTTCTACAACAATCTGTTTGTTTACTTAGTATTTTTTGAGATAATTATCATTTATTCAAATGTCAACTTATATGGTTTTCATGCCTCTCATTAATGCTCACATTAATTTCAATCGTCTTTGCCTAATCATCATGATCACTTAACTTTAACTTCAAGCCCATTTTGCTTTCTAGTTCGGCAGCAATTTAGTTTAATTTGCTAGTAGTTTGATAGTCAAATCTATTAGTAAATTTAGTTGAACACTCATTCATTTCGCTTGTTTCATTTGTTATGAATCTTTTAGTTAACATTAGTATTTTAAAGTCTTAGAGCTATTTAAGATGAATTAGTAACCTATTTTACAATAAGGTATCCCTCTTTCTTGCAGTCGTTTGAAGATGTAAAACTCAATTTTAAACTAATATTTTTTCAACTATCTTAGCAGAAGTCGATCATATAGGAGGAAAGGATCATTGAAAAAATTCTATTTTTTCACTTTGCAGCAAAGTAAGTAGCCACTTCGCATCTAGATGTATTGTATGCATGGTATTGCTTTAGGATTTTTGAGAAAATAGTAACAAATTTAGAAGGCAATTTACACATTTAGCCCTCAAGTTATAGGTCCCCTATCTGAAGTAATTTTTGGTCCAATTAATTTTATATCACCAAAATTAATCCCTAAATTTGGGATTTATTTTTTTCAAGACAGATGGGAGAAACTAACGAGGAAGATTTCGAAGAGACAAACCAGGAGATGAGAGAGTATGAGATCTAAATAAGCCATAAAGAATGAAGAAGATGATGAGCGGGCCCACATATTAAAACATTTTGCTGAGGTGGTAGCTACCTCAGATTTGTCCTGCTTTTTAAAACCAAGTTTTCGTCCTCCTTATCATTTTCCATATAAAAATGGTTACAAATCCTTATGCTTGGTCTGGCTGAGATGTGCCGTGCTAAAACCGATTCTTCAAGATTTAATAGGTTATTTCCAAATCTTAATACTTACGTAGGATTGATAGAAAATTCAAATCTCACCAATCATTTGAGCACTCACATTAGATTTATAGGCTATTATGCTTCTCTCAGTCGACGGGTTAGGTTCATTTCCTTTTCCTTTCACCTGTAATTACCCTTATTCCAAAAAAGAAAAAAAAAAAGAAAGCCGTGCTACATGGTAGTTGTCAGTTTTAATTTCTTTCACTAAATTGAAAATAATATTAATTAAAATTAATAAAAATATATTAAATTTAATTAAAAATGATAAATATATATTTTTAAATAAAGTGTTATATACAAAAAAAATTATATGAAGTATTTTTCACTGTTTTTAAAATTAAATCAAATTGATCGGTTGAATTTAAACCGTTACTCGATAATAGAAATGAATCGAGTTAGTATTTAAAACTATTTATGGGATTAAACCACTTAGAATCATTCAAATAGTCCAAATCTATAAGAATTGATAACCTGTCCAACTGATTGAGCCAACTATTTGGACAAAATTTGCAAGGTTTGTTGTTGTGGATGGGTTTCTAACACAAGACCTCATGTGGTTTTGACAACTCCTTTACCACCAAAGCGTCGGAACCCTTTATTTTGTTACAAAGAGTATATTTTAAAGAATATTACAAAAACTAAAGGAAAAACTCAAAATTACTTCCATGAGATTCGAACACTTCCTTTTGTATAACTTTGCCACTTGACCCAAATGAAGTTAACTTACTGTAATTGTCTTGAAATATATTTATCATAATAATAGAATTGTATAAATGAATAAATTTGACACATTTAGAACACTTCCTCTTGTCTAACTTTGCCACTTGATCCAAATGAAGTTAACTTACTCTAATTATCTTGAAATATATTTATTATAATAATAGAATTGTATAAATGAATAAATTTAACACATTTAAGATTCGAAATCAAGTTCTATATGAAATAGATAAGGGCTCCCAACCACTAAAACTACCTCAAGCTCTTGAAATAAATTGCATTATATTATATTTTATATATATTCAAAATTCAATCAACCTAACTTCAATGGTATTGTCAAATGAAATTTTAATCTATACAATAAAAAAAGTCAAAAGGTTTTTCTGCTTATGCTATAGGGTATTAATTGCATCATTTTATAATTTTTTTTATAGAGATTATACGTAAAGTGATATAAGTAATGGACTTTTAACTAGAATCCCATTTTATTTATTAGGTCTAACATTTGACCTTAGAGTACAGTATAAAAATATAATAAATATATTTTGTATTATAAATTTAGGTTGAAAAAATAAAAATCAACCTTTAATTTATTAATTTTTTAATTAAATTGATTAATTTTACAATAATACTAAAATTAATGTCAATTTTTATAAATTTTAATACACATTTATGAAAAAGAAGTAGCACCAACCTAACTCATATTTATTTCATACTCCCTCCATTCAATTTTAATAGTTTTACTATAAATTTTTACTTTTTGTACATAAATTTCATATTAAAATTTAACAAGTTATATGAACAATATTAAAAAAATTCCTATATAAAATTCTTATCAAGTATTTTTATTTGATGAAAAATTTTTTAATTATCATTTATATAATATGTTAAATTTTTTAAAAGAAATACATATCTGTCTTAATTCTTATAATAAAAATAAAGTTACAACTTTAAATTACGTCATTTTATTTAATTAAAACATAATTTAAAATTTTAAAATTTATTTTATTAAATATTAATATTTAAATTTAAAAACTAATTATATTAAAATATACAATTAGTTTCCAAATCGAGATATCAACAATTGATATAATGGATTTTTAAATTTTGAATTAAAATTTTTATTCTTAGATATAAGTTGAGATTTTATTTTATTTTTTTGAAAATTGAAATTAATACACACTAACATCTAAATTTATATTTAA